AAGACCCTGTCTCAACAAAAAAAAATGGAGAAAAAAAGAAAGAAAAAGGAAATTCTGTCAGTGATCTGTAATGACACTGAGAACACCAGTGGTTGTCCAGGGGTGGAGCTGTGGGAGGGACAGACGATGAAGAGCCTGGGGAAGCGTTGGAGGATGGTGGGAATGCTGAGCTTCTCGATGACGGTAATGACTTCGTGAGTATGTACAGATGTCAGAACTTGGACTCTGGACATGCAGGCACAGGAACCAGCTAGAGGAGCTGCTGCACAGCAGTGTGAATGCACCAAACGCCACTAAACTGTGCAGATAAAACAGTTTTATGTTGCATGAAATTCATGTCAATAAACACATGAATCGAGGTATAGGATTTGTTGAGAGACTGAGTTTGTCGTGTGAGGGAAATGCAGGAATCAAGGATAACCCCACAAATCTTGTGGACTGCACATGAAGGGGGCTGGAGCCACCTTTACCTGAGGTAGGGAAGGATGTAGTCGGTCTGGGATGTGCGGTGATTGACAGGTCTGTTAGGCATCCGAGACGAGGGAAACTCCAATTCCTGTGAGGGAAGGACGGTGGTTGGTCACACATTCTTAGAGAAGCTTTAATTCTTTGTGTCATTATTATTATTAACTTTATAAATTTATAAATACAAATAGTACTCATTTTTGGTGTACAACACAATGTTTTGATACATATATACAACATGCAATGGCTAAGGCAAATAATTTGACATATGAGTGACCTTGCATACTTATCTTTTTTGTATGAGGGGAACATTTATGTATTCATTTATTTTTCAAGAAAGGGTCTGGCTCTGTTGCCCAGGCTAGAGTGCAGTGACGCGATCACAGCTCACTGCAGCTTTGACCTCCCAGGCTCAAGCAATTCTTCTGCCTCAGACTCCTAGGTGGCTGGGACTGCAGGCTTGCACCATAATGCCCAGCGATCTTTCGTGTTTTTTGTATAGACTGAGTTTTGCCGTGTTGCCAGCCTGATCTCAAAATTCTGCTTTCAGTTGTGTACATTACTGAGAAGTATTCACACACCATTGTGATTGTCACTTTCAGTACAATGTTCAATAAATGACATGAGATATTCAACACTATTATAAAATAGGTTTTCTGTGGATGATTTTGCCTGACTGCAGGGGAATGTAAATGTTCTGAGCAAGTTGAAGGTAGGCTAGGCTAAGCGCTGAAGTTCAGTAAGTGACCTAATAGTAAATGCATTTTTATTTTCTATATTTTACATTCACAGTGGGTTTATCAGGATGTAACTTCATTGTAAGTCGAGGAGCATCTGTACTGTATACTTGAAATTTGCTCAGAGGGTGTATCTTAAATGTTTCCTACACACACACACACACACACACACACACACACACACACATCAAGAAATAAAAAGAAAGATGTAGCTCATGCCTGTAGCCCCAGCTGCTAGGGAGGCTGAAGCAGGATTGCTTGAGCCCAAGAGTTAAAAAATAAATAATAAGAAGGAAAGAACATGGTATCTATGTGAGGTGATGGAGACGTTAACTAGCTTGGTTCTGACGATTGCATCACAATGTATACATGTTTCCAAACTTTAGCCTGGTGACCTTTGTTAATATGTTGGGGCCTGGCGCAGTGGCTCATGCCTGTAATCCCAGCACTTTGGAAGGCCAAGGTGGGTGGATCACGAGGTCAGGAGTTCAAGATCAGCCTGGCCAAGATGGTGAAACCCCATCTCTACCAAATATACAAAAATTAGCTGGGCAGTGGTGGTGGGTGCCTGTAATCTCATCTACTTAGGAGGCTGAGGCAAATAATGGCTTGAACCCAGGAGGTGGAGGTTGTAGTGAGCCAAGATTGTGTCACTGCACTCCAGCCTGGGTGACAGAGCGACACTCTGTCTCAAAATAATTAATAATAATAATAAAATAATAATGTGTTGGGAAAGTCTTAGCCAGAGCAAGGAATAAAGGTCATCCAAATTTGGAAGGAGGAAGTCAAATTGTCTCTCTTTGCAAACAACATGTCATCTATAAAAACTCCTGAAACCTCCACCAGTAAAACTGAGAACTGATAAAGGAATTCAGTAAAGCTGCAGGATACAAAGTCAACATGCAAAAATCAGTAGTGTTTTTATACACCAACAACAAACGAGTGGGACAAAAACCAAGAAAGGAATCCCATTTACAGTAGCAAAAGAACCCCTAAAAACCTGGTAATAAATTTAACCAGGGAGGTGAAAGATTTCCACAAGAAAAACTATTAAGCACTAATGAAAAAAAACGGAAAAAGACCACCAAAAATGGAAAGACATGTTCATAGAATGGAAGAATTAATATTGTGAAAAAGACCACACTGTTAATAGACATCGACAGATTCGATGCAATCTCTTCCAAAATACCAACAACATCTTCAAAGAAATAAGACTATGAATTTCCAGAGGGGAGGATTTGGGAGAATTGTGTAGCCTGATGGTGGTTTAGGCAGCTCCCAGTTAATTCCAGTAAATAACTCCATTCTTAACTCTAACTCATTGTCAACACCTCAGTGGTAAACCAGAAAAGTTATGAGAATCTGCATGAGAAAATAATTGTTTCAACTTCTTGGCAAAATGACCTTGTATCCAGCACTTCCCTGACAGTCTTATTTCATCTTCAAACAACACATCAAGAAAGTTCTACTCCCAAGAAATTTGAAGTTCCCAGAGTGAAGTGGCTTAAGATTTCCCAGGGATTTAAACCAGAATCAGTGTAAAACCAGCAACCCTCCCATTTATCCTAAAGGTTAGAGAAGGTTTCCTCTGAAATTAAAATGAATGAGTCACTATTCGAATGGATTAGTGTCATCCAATTGATGGTGTGAACTTCCCAAATTATAATCTAATCTTGCCTAGCATTTAATTATCATTCCACATTAACTCCATGATCCATACAGTAAAATTCACACCCACCATTAAGGCTTTTAGTGCTTGAGAGCCCTAACTGAGGGGGCTGAGAACTAGGGAATCCCATGGGACCCTCAGTGTATCTATAAACCGCCCTCATAGCATCCTGGTATGAATGCAGAGACGAGACCATGTGCCTTTCTCTGGTTCCCACTGTTTTTATATAAGGGTAGGTTAGCTAATAGCAAACCAGTGATTTAGTCTAGCTCAAACCAAGTTTTCCCATGTCAATTCCAATATTCTTTTTAAAAAAGTGAAAAATTACCACCAATATTCATTATGTATCAACAAAGACTGTCTCTTTTTTTTTCAGTATCTTGACATTCGCATGTGAAAGCTTTGCTCAAACTAGATCAAATCACTGGTTTGATATTAATCCACCAGCTCGTTTAACATGTTCTTTACTTGTTAGGATATTAGTCTCTGTGACATGAGGGAACCCAAAGTGGTTAACACGTGCGGATCTATATTTTCTGAGGCCTCCAAATACCTCAGCAATATGACAGCTTAGTAGAGCGCGAAAACCTATGTTCTTTGCACAGCAGGCATGTTTAATACATTAATTTCTTGTGGGCGGGGTTTCAGTGGCAAATGTAATCAACGCCGCTTACGTACAATGGACTCTATGGCCCTAAACCAATCATGGGGCGGCGCAGGGAACCGGAAACGGGGCCTCAGTCCCTCCGCTTCTGCATAAATAGACGCAGTTCAGCTCCAGGCCAGTTGGAGAGCGCATCCCAGAGCGAGGAGGTTGGCGGCGGAAGCCGGGGAGGAGGTAAGTGTCCAGCGGGCATATGTCTGTGGGGTTTAGGAGCTGGCGTGCGCGGAGGTTGGTTTCAGAAAGATTTGGGTGTATTTCCTCATGCATTTGCTCGGAGACTTTGTGAAGGCAGCGGATCTCCTTTGCACCCCATGATTAACTCTGACTCGTTATGCAGTGCTTCTGTAAACTAGGAATAATGGTAACTTTGTCATCATGGTTAGGTTATATTTTATTTTATTTTATTTTAGAGACAGGGTCTCGCTAGAATTCCAGACTAGCCTGGAATTCCTGGACTCAAGCGATCTGCCCACCTCCGCCTCCCGAGTAGCTGGGACTACAGGCATATGCCACAACGACCGGATAAATTATTTATTTATTTATTTATTTATTTTGCAGAGAGGGGGTCTCGGTGCGTTGCCCAGACTGGTCCTGGACTCCTGGGCTCCACCATGCTCCCGTCTCGGTCTTCCAAAGTGTTGGAATTACAGGTGTGAGCCACCTTGCCTCCCACACACCCTTCTTAAAAAGCGTTGCTCGATTTTCCCTTCGCACAGTGTAAAATCAAGCCATTGATGAAGGAACATCAACCTACTAGGCCAGTGAGAATCTGAGCTAAGTGTCCCTACCTGGGTGGCCGTGTGGTATATACTCCCAGAACTGGATACTAACTCCTGTACCTGCCTTTATTTTTTCCTGTGTCTTGTTTCTTGCTTTAACGGGAAATGAACTGAGATCAAATACAAAGTGGTTTCTAGGAACATGAAACCACTTTTTTTTAAGAGACAGGATCTCACTATGTTGCCCAGGCTGTTATCAAACACGGGCTCAAGTGATCCTCCCGCCTCCCTGAGCAGCAGCAGGCGCCCGGTGGCAAAATCACTTTTAATTCCAGAATTTCGGGCTCCCTTTTCTCTCTCATATCTGTATGCTTTTTCAATAAAAATTAATTTGCTTCTAATTGAAAACTAGAAATTGTATATATTTATGGCATATAGCATAATGTACTTTGTAGTATCATAAACATTGCAAAATGGCTAAATTAAGCTAATATTCATATGCCCTACCTCCTGTACTAACCATTTTTGGTTTTGAGAATACTTTGTCTACTTTTTTTCACCATGTTGGACAATTGCTCTGTTGAATTGATTTCTTCAACTGAAATTTGTACTCTTTGACCTGGATCTCTCCAGCCCCCACCCCAGCCCTGGTAACCACATTCTACTCACTGCTACTATGAGTTCCACCGGGTTTTTAATTATTATTTATGATATTTACTTCCTTTTAAATTTTTTTTATAATTTGAACTTTTATTTTAGATTCGGTAGGTACCTGTGCAGGTTCGTTACATGAGTATATTGAGTGGTGCTGAGGTTTGGGGTATTACTCAACCTGTCACCCAGGATGTGAGGATAGCAACCAATAGGTAGTTTTTCAACCTTCCCTCCGTCTCTGTCCAGTGTTTCACTGTTTTGGAGTCCGCATCCTCATTTCCTTTCCTCTGCGTACGGGTCCTGGAGCAGGATCGCCAGATCATGCAGTTGTTGTACTTTTAATTTTCTGAAGAGTTTCTATATTGTGTCCCATATCGGCTGCACTAATTTACATCCCAACACAGGGCGCAGAGGATCCCTCTCCTCCGAATCCTCACCAACACTCGTTCCATGTGTCTTCTTGGGAACCGCCACTCTAGCAGGCGTGAGGGGAGCCTTGTGGTTTGGATTTGCATGTCCCTGATGATGAGTGATGATGAATGCCTTTTCCTAGACCTGCTGGCCATTCACATGTCTTCATCTGAGATGAAGCGTTCTCATAGCTGTTGAACTTGGACAATAATTGATGCCTGGAGAGTATCACTCAGTGGCTCCTGCCTGATAAAGCTAGGTTTAGCAATTAATTTTTAAAAACCTTATTATTGTATGAACCCACTTTAAAATATCATAGAGCACTAGACTTTAAATCCGTGTTCTGGGATGAGCCTAAGAATAGAGAAACCCTTAGAGAGAGAAGGTAGATTAGTGATTTCCAGGGGCTGGGGTGGGTAGGCAGGGGGTGATTACTGATAGAGACGGGGTTCCTTTTGGGGTGATGAGATAATTCTGGAACTAGACGGTGGCGATGGCTGCACAGCATGGTGCATGTCTTAGTGCCATGAAATTGTGCCCTTGAAGAGGGTAAAAATGATGAAATGTATGAATGTGCGTTTTACCAAAGTAACAAAATATCTGTGGGAGCTTAATCCTCATAGGATTCTTTAGTGCTGTCCTTTCCCTGGAGCAAGTAAATGTTCTGGGGTGAACAAGAATATGTGTTGGGGGAAAATATGACGTTCTAACTCTTTTTGTCTATCTTTTTGCATAACTATGACTAAGGGCTTTGCTTTGGATCTTGTCCTGATGAGAAAACATAAAGGGCTTACTTTATTGTTACATCAGATTTTAGGAGCTTCACTTGACTGTCCTATTTAATTTATAGTCAAGAACCACGTTGTTTCAATTGACAGGAAAACTGATTCAACTTCTGCGCAGTGATTTCCGACAAATCAGAATCCAGGGGGCATTAAGATTTTAAACCACAATATGTAGTCAAGTATAGACACTGGGAGATTTCCACTGCGTTGAATTCGATGCTGCTGAAGAAGTGGCATCCAGGATAAGGGATTTTGAAGGGAGGGGCGGATGGAGTAGAAACTTAAACTAATCAGGCTCATGCTTTTTCCCCCCTAGACTTCTGAACGAACAGTGAATCTGTTACTGAGGAAAACCAGAGGAAGCCTGTGTAGATAGGTATCAATTAGATACCAGCTACTAGAAGAGCTTTCTCAGAGACTGATTAAAAAATTCTCCACTAGATATGGCTGCAAATTGCACATCCTCATGGCGTCAGAGAGAACCCTGCAACAGACCTGGGTTGGAGCTGCCACGGTCTATGGCATCCTCAGAAACTCAACTTGGAAATCGACGCATGGACCCTGAGATTTCTCACGTGAACTTCAGGATGTTCAGCTGCCCGAAGAGTCGGACCCCATCCAGGCTCTGGGAAACTCACTGAGCTGTGCCATCTGTGGCTGAGACCCGACCTCCACACACCAAGAGCAGATCTGGACATGCTGGTGATGGAGCAGTTCATGATCTCCATGCCCCAGGAGCTCCAGGTCTTAGTCATGATGAACGGCGTGCAGAGCTGCAAAGACCTGGAGGACCTGCTACGAAATAACAGAAGACCCAAGAGAAATGGGTGAGGTGGGACCCTCCTGATTGGCTCAGGAAGGGAGCTGAGATGGGGGGCTGCATGGTGCACCTGGACTGGAGAGGACCCAAGGGGGCTGCTCTGGTCAGGGCTTCCAGAGAAATGAAGGGAGAGTTTGCCCATCGGGGGCACATGGCAGTGTCTGGGGACAGTTTTGGATGTCTAGGGGAGGACAGGAGATGCTGCTCGCGTTCTCCAAAGCTCTCAGGACAACCTGACAATATCAGAACAAGATATTGTGACAAATAATCATCCAGATTAAATATCATGTGCTAAGATGGCCAATTCCTGGCCTAGGAGATGGACAGGCAGAGGGGATACAGGGATCTACACACTGTGTGAGGCCAACATGGAAGAAGGCAGGTGGTAAAATATTACACTGATGGAATATAGGGAAGGAGGCATTAGGGTGAACAGAGGGGGGCCCAGAAGTCATCCTGAGGCAGGAAAGTGGTTGGTATCAAGAGATCCAGGATCTGCCTCAGAGTCCCACATAAGCCTAGTTCCAGCACAGGTGAGCTGCCATTGGCCCATGAGTTGGATTCACCCAGGATATTTCTCTTTTCTCTTCTCTTTGGTTTAGAGACTCTTTCATCTAAAGGACCCATATTTGTGCCATATCTAGAATATTCAGGTGCAGGCAGGTGCTGGAGATCCCAGAGGAGAAAATTCAGACAGATTCAACATGTCCCACAGAGCTGACTCTGCATCGGGAAGGCAGATTTGAACATTAATTACAGTCAAGTGTGAGCATTATGGTAGGACCCAGGGAATATAAGAGCTGTTTCAGGTTCAAATCATTGAGTCTGATTTTTTTTCTCTCTCTACAGTCTGTAGTCACCTTCCACGGAAAGGAATATATTGTACAGGACTCAGATGTTGAGATGGCTGAAAGGCCGCCGAAAATGAGAATGATCAGGGACACGTCAGCCAGCGGGCCTCCTCTGTGAGCCCAGGCGCGTCCGGGGAAGGCCAGGCCACTTGAGAGCTGCAGACCCTGCCCAGGATCCCTGCACTGTTCGGGAGGCGGGTGAGCGTGTGAGGTCTTGGTGTCTGGGCAGAGGTGGGAGAAGGATCAGGAAGAAATCGTGTGTCCACTGGACTGATTGACAGATTTAGCACGGAGAGAAAATTAGAACCATTCCCCATGGAGATGGTACATCCCCAATTCATTCCTGAACCATCTCAGAGGAAACCTCTGTCTACTTCTCCCTCACCGCAGAGGCTTTTAGCATTGAGGGGTGGGGGTAGAAATGGTCTCAGTGAAGTGAAGGGGAGGCAGTTGGCACAGATGAGATGAACTGAAGATCCCTTCCCCCACTTAGCCAGTTACCTCAAAGACATTCCATGTAATAAATCAGCAAGGGAACTATTTGCTACAGATTGTCAATTTCTTAATTTGAAGTGTTTCTCAGCTGGGAGTGATTATGCCTTTCCGGACACATGGCCATGTCTGGAAGCGTTCTTGTTTGGCATTCTCAGGGGTGGTGGGGTGTTAGTAGCATCTAGAGGTGGAGCGGGGTCTCTGCTCTGCACAGCAGCGCCCCCTCAGGAAAGGAGTTATGCGGTTGCAATGCCAGTGGTGCCACAGGTGAGGGGCCTCCACCTAGAGTCATGCTCCTTCCAGCCTCAGGGCAGGAGACGGTGGCACGGGAAGAAATAATGCTCAGAGAACCACAGGGTGAAAACCACCAGGCACAGGAGCTGATTTAGAATATAGAGGGTGCAGATTAGGGACAGACTCAGACGTGAGGTGGTGATGTTTACTGGGGGGTGAGAGAGGTGGTCCATGGGAAGTCTGGTGTATCCAATGAGGAGGGGCCAGACATGTCTGTGCTTCCACCAGTGTAGACACGGAGTCATTGCCCTTGGTTTTCATCTTCAGGGGAGAGGACTATCTGCTACACCAAAATATTGACATAAGGGTGACCCAAAGTCTCAGGACCAGCTGACCTTGGAGGATCTGAAGGAAAACAGGGGAGAGAACCCAGAACTTACTCCCCAGAGTCTCCCAGCTTCCAAAAGCGTCCCAGTGAGTATGAAGACTTGGATCCACAGAGTTAGCCCCCTCTCTTCTGGGGTGCAGGGCTGGGGGCCCAGCATTATGCCTAGAGCACAGTACTCAGCTGCCAAAGCCTCCCCATCCTCCACTTGCCAGAACCTATGGTCCAATGTCTTAATTTTGAGGTTGAGGAAGTTGTCAATAACATCAGTGTTTGGTTGCAATGAGTTTGGTGTCATTGAAAATGCGCTTTATTAACTGTTGTGTGGAAACCCCTTCTTCCAGCAGATCTGGTAGAAATGCAAAGGAGGGGAAGGAACCCCCAAAAATAGCCGTTGTGGAAAATGTGGATGCCAACACACCTTCTGCCTGCGTTGTGGGAAAGCTTCGACTCACAGTGGGAACAGAGAGCACTCAAAATCTCAGGGTCAAAGCAAGCGAGGACTTCCCCTCCATTTCCCAAGAAGAACCTCAGGAGGAGCCTGTGGGCAGCAGAGAATCCCGGGACAAGCTGGGATGAATTCAATTCATTCCCCAGGCCTGCGAGCCCAGTCAGTCTTCAGATGGCCAGAAGCCAGGCACTGCCGCCCTTTGCATGTGACGTGTGCGATGGGATTTTACCTGTAATTCAAGCTAGTCATCCACAAGAGATCACACACAGGAGAGACTCTTTCAATGTAATCTCTGTGGGAAGCGTTCATGCAGCTCATTAGCCTCCAGTTTCTGTGAACCCACACCGGCGAGAGACCCTACACGTGTAGCGTCTGCCAAGCAGTTCACCCAAATTCTACACAAGTGTGTCACCCAAGAAGGCCACACAGGGGAGAAGCCCTTGGGAATGTAAGACTGCAAGAGGACCGTGGGGGAGCCTGAAGAGCTTTCAGCGCCTTATCAGGAGAAACCTATAAATGCTCCAAGTGTCCAAGAGCCTTGGTCGGCTGAAATTGTTAGACGCCACCAGAAAAACACATCCAAAGCCACTTCTCAGTGATTGCATAATCTGGTCTATGCCTTCTGCACCAAGAAGAAGTGAATGATGATTTTTCACTGATGTTACCAGAAGTACATTTGACACGTGCAGGGCGCCACAGCACACACAGGGAGTGCCCTAGATATGGTGCCATGATGTTTGAGGTAAATATGTATCTCCCACTGAGCTTTGTTTTCTGTTTCATTATGTCCATTGTTTTCCTATAGGTTTATTTTGGTTTCTGTTGCTGTTCTTTCAGCCGTAGTCATCTTATTAGTTTTCAATATTGTATAACAAACGGGTTCAGATTGACGGTTACCCTGTTTTGTTGTAAAATAAAATTGTCCAAGGGTGGCCATATAAAATACATAATACCTGGTGGTGAGTTTCAGATAAACAATTTTCTTTAGTATCAGCATGTTCTAAATTGTCGTTGTATCTGAAACTCGCTTTTTGTGGTATCCTCTTGAAATTTCGTTTTCTTTCTCTTGTTTTTTCTTTTTGTTTTCTTTTTTTTTTTTTTTTTTGATTGTCATCTCCTCTGTCACCCAGGGTGAGGTTCAGTGGCACGATCACCGCTCACTGCAGCCACAACCTTCCAGGCTCAAGCAATCCTCCTGTTCTAAGTCCCGAGCAGCTGAGACTATAGGAGCATGCCACCAACAGCTAATTCTTGTGTTTTTTGTGGTATTCAGGTTTTTGCCATGTTGCCGGGCTGGTCTTGAACTTGTAGTACAAGTGATCCATCTGCCTTGGCCTAACTGGTCTGCTGGCATTACACGGCATGACCACCTACTGCCCTGTATTGTTTTTATTAGACTTTAATATAACTATTATATTCAAATTTTTGGAAATAATTTTTTTTGTAGTGATAGGTTTCTTATTTTAGAGCTGGTGTGGTGACACTATGCAACTCTCGGCTCTTTCAGAGCTGTTTAGGTTCACAGGAAACTCAGTGGACCTTTGAGTTCTGACTCCCTCCACACCACGGCCTGAGCCTCTCCCCGCCCAGCAGCCCCAGCAGAGCGGTGCACCTGTTCCATCAGCGAGCCTGCCCAGACACATCACCAGCACCCAGAGTCCATGAAGGTGTCCATCCAGCACCCAGAGTCCATGGTGTCCATTAGGGCTCGCTCTGGGGGTCATACATCCTGTGGGTTTGGACAAAGGCCTCATGAGGATCCACCACTGGAGTATCATGGGGGGTATTTTCATTGCCGCTCCCCCCCCGAATCCTCTCTGCTCTGCCTGTGTAATCTCCCTGCCCCAGATGGTGTATTTTGTGGCCTAAAGTTGGCAATTTCTAAATCCCCAATGTGACTCTTGGACTACAGAGGCATTCGGAGTCTCTGGGGACTAGTTGGTCTTAGTGATATTCCCATCCCCTGAAGGCGTGGTTAATCCACAGGTGGGTGGGCCCTAAATTCAGAGTTTCTGATTGAGTAGACCGGGGATGGGGCCTGAGAGTGTGCATTAAAACATAGAATTCGTTTTAGAATAGCTTTCTAAAGTCCATAGAGCTCCCTAATGCCCCACACCATTTCCCCCATTGCTGACTGATTCATTAGTATGGCACATTTGCCACAAGCGATGAACTGACTGGATACATTGCTGTGATCTAAGGGCCATACCTTATTGAGGCCTCCTTAGTGTTTACACAATGCCCTCCTCTTCCTTCCTCCCCATCCAGGACACCACATTGCCTTGAGTCGTCACGTCTCCCTAGGATCCTCTTGGTGACAATTTCTCAGGTTTTACTTGTTTGGGATCACCTGAGAATGTGCATTTTAGGTGGTGCTGATGTGGCTGGTCTTGGGAGGACATTTTATGGATGGCTGGTTGAGCTGACAGGCGGAGTCCTGCAATCTGCAGAGGTCTGGAAAGGTCCCTTCCTGAATAGGCTGGATTCATTTATTAAAGGCCACTTTTGTAAGACTTTGGTTCTTGTCATTTTAATTTAAAGGAATTTAAACAAGAGATACACAGCAAAGAGATGCAGCATAGAGTAACTGATTGCAAAGGAAATAGGGTATTTTGAAAGTTAAGTGCGGAATAGACAGGACATGCTGGGAGCAAGGATTCAGGGCTGGCTGCTCCTGAGGATGAGACAGCAAAGACCTGCTGTCTTTATGGGAGTCTCGGATGACTACACCTAGTGGGGTGGGACGAGGTGTTACTAGTAAGCACGTTCTGGGTGGTCCTCTGGGCGCACAGGTGCAGTAGCTGTGCACATGTCTCATTAGCGTCTTTAGTCTTCACCCAGGGGTGTGTTTTTTACTATCATAACAAGCAAAGTGTCATTGTGTGGATGGGTAAGATCAAAGTGTGCAGGCTCTCAGAAATTCCTTACTGGAGATGGCTTTGCTTGAATGAACTCAATTCCACTGAGAACGCTGAGGCTTATTTTGTTCACTGTATAGTCACCACGCGTGCAGCATCCTAAGGACGTGGTCATTTCCTTGACTGCCTATCCTGCCTCACCCAGCTCCCTTTCGGAGTAACATTCTTTGAAGCAGGGGCCTAGAATCCACCATAAAATGTACATAGACTCCCCTTTCATTCAAGAAGTGGAGGCAGGTGTGGGTGGTGGTTCTCTCTTTTGGTGATTGGGTTCAACCTCCTTCACCAGATGTAGAAAATGTTTTGATGATACTACCTGCCCATTTAATTTCAATCATGGTGCTGTATGATCCATTAATGACTTACAGTGTTTCTTTAGAGCTTCATTTTCTAATTTGGCTACATGTTGGAGTCACTTGAACAGTTTTTAATATTTTTTTAAAAAAAGCAATGCTTGGGGTCCAGCCCTAAGATAATGATGTGATTGGCTGAGGATGTGGCCCCTGTGTTGAGAGTTTATAAAACTCCCCAGGTGATCTAACGTGTGGCTGAGTCTGGCAGGCCAATTTTCTGATTGCCTGGACACTCCAATTCCTATCCTCTCATGGGGATGAGTGAGTTCATTTCCATGGCAGGATCATGCACGTCTATTCTCAGTCTAAAGACGGTAGACTCAGGCACAGTGGCTCATGCCTGTAATCCCAGCACTTTGGGAGGCCAGGGCGGGTGGATCATGAGGTCAAGAGATTGAGACCATCCTGGCCAACACGGTGAAACCCCATCTCTACTAAAAATACAAAAACTAGCCAGGTGTGGTGGTGTGCACCTGTAGTCCCAGCTATGCAGGAGGCTGAGGAAGGAGAATCACTTGAACCTGGGAGGCGGAGGTTGCAGTGAGCCGAGATCACACTGCTGTACTCCAGCCTGGTAACAGAGCAAGACTCTGTCAAAAAAAAAAAAAAAGAAAGAAAGAAAATAAGAAGGTAGACTGCACTGACCAACCCTGGATGGGTGTGTCTCCTGCCATATCTGGCTGCCTGAACCACTCCAGGGACTGCCCCTCACAGGGACTGCCCTTCATGGCTAACGGCGCACCTGACCTCGGGCTGCCTTCGCACTGCTGCTCCTCAGCCGCCTACGTGCTCTGGTGGATGCTCCAAACCAAGGTACCCACTGCAACCCCAAAAAGCCATGTGCTAGAAATGACTTTGAGTTGAATTTAGAAGGTGCCTTTTTTGGCAGAGAAACAACAATGCAGCACCGCCTAATCCTCCCAAGCTGGAGCTAAATCTGCACCAGCCAACCTGGCCCACCGGAGCTGGTCGGAGCTTTTCAGACTCCGACCTTGCTGATGGGACATCAGGTGGGGAGGGAGGCTGTGGCACGGCCATGGGAAGAAGGGGGAAGACAGCAGCTCCCCTGGCATGATCCCTGGGATCGTGGAGGCTGGGCGGGTCAACATGGTTGGAGTTGATTCTAGCTTTCTGTCTTCCCAGGAAAAGGAGCTGGGAAGCTGGGCTCAAGCGAGTCTCCTGCCTCAGCCTCCCAAGTAGCTGGGACTACAGGTGTGTGCCACCACACCCAGCTAATTTTTAAATTATTTATAGAGTCGGGGTCTCACTACATTGCCCAGGCGGGTCTCCAACTCCTGGGCTTGAGCAATCCTCCTCCCTCAACCTCCCAGAGTGCTGGGATTACAGGTGTGAGTTACCGTGTGTGTTCACGGTGCCTGGCCCGGGTTCCTTTTCTGCCAGCTTAGAAGGGCAGCCCCGTGACTGAATGTGATTCTGAGGATGACTCCGCAGTTAGATCCTTGTTGCAGTGTATCCCACCTGAAACGCTGCACATCTGAACTGGGACTGTTAACACCTGTGCCAATACAGTGTGGGGTGCCAGGAAGTGTCTGCACACGTCTCATTAGCGTCTTTAGTCTCCACCCAGTATTTGTGGGGGAAAAAAAAAATCTATTTTGTTTACCTACTGTATCAAAGGGAAATCTTGGGGAGAACAGTAGTATTTTTTTTTTACTCAGGTGTGAAAACAAGTTACAGATCGTCCAAAAAAGAGAGAGAGAGAAGACAGTAGGGCGATTTCTTAGAAAAGCAGAGGGATTTGGGATCTTGGCCTTCGGGCTCCATCCAGCGCCACTGGCCTGTCGCTGCAGCCAAGGCAGGCACGGATGTGCTCCTTCGCAGACAGCGTTGGACCGGGCCCGGGCTCTAGGCGCAGCCTCCGGCCCAGGCTGGAGGGTTCAGGGCGGAGGCCTGGGGGGGCCCAGCCCCTCACTGGCTCCCCTCTCGTTTGCAGCCGCAGGGCCATAGCCAGCCACGGCGCCCAGCTGGAATGACACGATCTCGAAGCCCCATTTCCACAAGGGCTGCAGCTGCGCCTGGCCACGTGGTTCCACCAGCTGGCCCGGAAGAGACGCAGACGCCAGGCCGGACACGCCAAGGCGTGCCCGCCTCGCCCCGCCCGGATCCGGCGCAACGTGCGCTGCTACCACGCGAAGGTGCGCCCGGCCGCGGCTGCCGCCTGGAGGAGCTCAGGGTGGTCGGCACGCCCAAGAAGGTGGCCCGGACCACCGGCGTTTCTGTGGATCGGAGGAGGCGGAGTCCCTGCAGGCCGACACGCAGCGGCTGAAGGAGCCCCGCTCCAAACTCTTCCGCTTCCCCAGGAAGCCCTCGGCGCCCAAGAAGGGAGACGGTTCCGCTGAAGAACTGAAACAGGCCACTCAGCTGAGAGCACCGGTCATGCCCATCCCGAATGCCCATAAGGAGAAAGCTCGAGTCATCACTGAGGAGAAGAATTTAGAAGCCTTCGCTAGTCTCCACATGGCCCGTGCCAACGCCGGCTCTTCGGCATCCCGGCAAAAAAGAGCCAAGGAAGCTACAGAACAAGACGTTGAAAAGGAAAAATAAAGCCCTCCTGGGAACTTGCAATCAGTCAGCAGT